GATTGAAGATTAAAAAAATTGAGATGGAATAACAAATCGTTCTGATGAAAATAACTGATTTTTTTCATTAAAACAAAAAAATGTTGCATTTTATTAAATGGATTGTAACAATAAGTATAATTACGGCTTTTCTTCCACTATTTCTAACTCAGTTTGAAACTTCAAATGCGATATAATTTTGGCTTGGACCATCTAAGCTGACTGACATCAACTTGCTATAATTTCTGTTTACATTACATCGCAATTCGATGACACTCTGGCTCAGACACCAGAACGTTTTGACGATTTTTAGCATTCGTTCAGGATTTTCAAACAACCTGGTCTCTTTTAAAATACATTTAATTTGTTCTTACGTGGTTTTCCAGATGTAGTAACGACAACATTAAAGTTTAAAGAAGAAAATTCTAACATTTAAACCGACTAAACAATAACATAGTAAACATGCATAATTAAACAGCAACTAAAATGATAGGTTTTACTAAATCTTTTCCTGTGCAATTATTACTAGCATTGGAGACAAGGATAATAGTTTGTGTGAAAGAGAAAAGAACAGGCTTTGAAGTAAGCCTAAAAGCGTTTAATTAGAAATAGTATGTCGAACGTTATTAAGCACAAAAGATGAATTGCGTTTATTTTGATACACCCTGTATATATACCACTATAGTAGTATTAAAATGGGAAATGGAACTTGTGAAAAGTTGAAAAGAAAAATATTGGAATATTGATTATGATACATTGGTTGAAAGTCTGAAATGGGAGCAAATATTTAGAGGTTGAATGTAAAAATCCAATAGTTGTCCTAAACTGTGTGTGTGACAGTCGTAAGCTTTATTGTGAGGAAAGAATACTTAATGTAGGCTAAAATATTGAATTTTGAAGAATATCGGGGCGGGAGGTCCTCGCAGAATTTGGCCATTTTCATTAGCTTTCATTGTTTTAATGCATGGTATTTCATTAAGGTGGCTCTATGAAGTTTAAGGAAATATATGTTTGGACTTCAGAAAATTCACAAGTAACCTCTATTAATGATATGAAAGAGCTGTTCAACAAATGCCTCAGCATGATGTTGTACACATGTGAAGTCGTGAAAAAGTGGTTACCTTGGCAACAATAATAGAAGCTTTATCTTTACAAAACCTATGCAACATATAGGCCAAATGCCTCAGCATGATGTTGTAAACATGTGAAGTCGTGATAAAGTGGTTACCATGGCAACAATAATAGAAGCTTTATCTTTACAAAACTATAGTACATTACATCAGTTTTATATAGAGTAGTTTTGGTTAGTAATCTCGATCTTTTATATACTTAATTGTTACCAATAAATCCTGTTTCCATTATTATTATTATTATTATTATTATTATTATTATTATTATTATTATTATTATTATTATTATTATTATTATTATTATTATTATTATTATTATTATTATTATTATTATTATTATTATTATTATTATTACAGCTCAAAAATTATGAAAAAGTGAAATTTGTTAATTTATCGATTAGCTCATTAGGAGTTTTCAGCCACCCGTCGCTAGATTTCACCAAAATGCTGAAGGATCTAAAGTTTGATGAACAATGTAGAAAGTACTATGTTCGGAAAATTATTAACATATGTATCAGGTCCTCGTATTATATATTCTGTAAGCGTAACAAAGAATGGGATAACCCACAACTAATGTCATACTAATATTGTTATTATGTAGAGTGTTAATTAAAGTAGACACTGGTAAACTACCTGTAAAGAGAGGTTTATCATTGTAGTGTGTATATATATTATTGAAAGTAATAAAGTTTCCATTATTATTATTATTACCATCATACCTTATTTTCATCAGTTTTTTTTTAATAATCATCTTACCATCATTTTCTAATCCCTCTATTATTACTGGTGATGACTATCGTCCTGATCTACTAATTTTGACCAAAGACAAGTGTCTGTATGTACTCGAACTAACCGATGGATATGAGACTAACCTAAGGAATAATGTACAGCGCAAATAATCCAAATATAGAGATGATCATAGTACAAAAGAAAAAATTCCATCCGGTAAAGTTCATTAATCTCTCAATCAGTGCACTCGGTGTTTTTGAAAAAGAATCTTCAGCTTTTATACAAATGTTGGAACATTTTTATTCAGATAAGGCCGGTGTTAAATATATCATTAGGAAAATTATTAATATTGCAATAAGAACGACATATTACGTTTTCTGTTCTAGAAACAAGGACTGGTTGAACCCAGATTTAATGAACTTCTAGCTAGTCTCTTACTTTTCGTATCATATAATTATGTCCATGCATGTGTAGTGTAATGTAAGTAGCCAATTGTAAATTACCTTTAACAGTGCATGAGATTTGCAATTGTAAGTGCATAAAAAATTCAATAATGTTTTCATTATTATAAACAACCTAATACGAAGTCTTTATACAAACTTCCAAACATCCATTATAACAGAACAGTTCAGTACTCATTTTATCATGCACAATCAGACGTGGCGTTTTACAAGGTGACCGTCTCAGTCCTCTCTTATTCAATATGTCCTTCAACACATTCGTTCAGCACATAAATTCTGAGAAATACGCCCAGCTTGGCTTTTGTAAATTGAATAAAACTGGTATTCCGTGCAACCCTATCCATTGGTTTCAATTCGCAGACGACGCGGCTGTCATCAGCAGCCAAGAAAACGAAAATCAAATTCTGCTCAATCGTTTCACAGTATGGTGTCAATGGGACAATATGATAATACATGTTGACAAGTGCTCTTCATTTGGAATTAAAAAACGCTCATCTACGTCTATCCAGTACCAACATAAGCTGTTCGTTAATAACCAACTTATACCCCGTATCGATCTCGGAGAATCTTTCCGCTATCTTGGTCGTTGTTTCGATTTCAACATGTCCGAAGAAAGACACAAATCCGAATTGTGAATGAATGAATGAATGAATGAATGAATGAAGACTTTATTTAACGAGAGTTACACATGCCAGTTTGCACTGATAAATTTGTGGCTCTCAATGGATTATACAAATAACATTAAACCTAAGTACTAAATTTATAAAATACTATATATACATACGTCTAAAATCCGAAGATTATATAGTAAAATGATCGATGTTTTCATAGCTCTCTTTAAAAAGCTGTTTCATGCTGTGTTTAAACGAAGCCACCGTCCGTTCTCAATGGATTATACAAATAACATTAAACATAAGTACTAAATTTATAAAATACTATATATACATACGTCTAAAATCCGAAGATTATATAGTAAAATGATCGATGTTTTCATAGCTCTCTTTAAAAAGCTGTTTCATGCTGTGTTTAAACGAAGCCACCGTCCGTTCTCAATGGATTATACAAATAACATTAAACATAAGTACTAAATTTATAAAATACTATATATACATACGTCTAAAATCCGAAGATTATATAGTAAAATGATCGAAAGTTGTTTCATGCTGTGTTTAAACGAAGCCACCGTCCGCTTATCACGCACAGTCTTAGGCAGCTGGTTCCATTGTTTTATGGTCGAAACGGCAAATGTACGACCACCTTCGGTTTCTCGCTTGTATTTAGGGCATAGGAAATTTAAATTGCAATATCTAGTGGATCTACTATTTACACTAGAATTCAGTTTCAGCATATCATCTAAATAGTTCGGAGAATCATTCTTTATACGTTTATAGGCTGTTGTTGCTTTAAGAATCTTCACTTCGTCGTAGTATGGTATCCAGTTTAGTTGCTGAAACAAGTTAACTGTTCGCGCTGACATGTCCAAATCTAAAATAACCCGAGCTGCTGTTTTCTGTAACCTAAAAACTCTGTTTAGGTTTTCTTTGGAGGTTGTTGTCCAAACAGCTGAACCATAGAAAATGATAGGCTTTATCATAGCATTATAATAAAGACAGCGTTCTCTAAATGGGAGGCAACGCTTTATTTTACAGAGTACCGCGATTCGTTGAGATAGTTTCTTACATATATTGTCAACATGTATATCAAAGCTCAGTTCATCATCGAGCGTAACTCCAAGCAATTTAAACGAGGTGACTTGTTGGAGTTTTTTCCCATTCAGCATAAGATCAATATCAAGTGTGTCCATTTTCTTCTTCAGGCGCTTTCCGGCGATCAGAAGAGTTTTAGTTTTCTCTTCATTCAAAACCATATGATTAACTCTTGACCAATCTGCAAGATTTGTAATGTCCTTCTGTAATTCAACCGTAATTGACTGAGGGGCAGAAGAGTAATCATGTGCATAGCTAAGCGTCGTGTCATCAGCATAAATATCAGCAACAGAATGTTTAATTTGATCTGGAAGATCGTTAATGAATATAATGAATAAGATGGGCCCAAGTATAGATCCTTGGGGCACAACCACATTCGACAGGCCTAGAGGATGACTTAACACCGTCCACATTGACATATTGGGATCGATCAGAAAGATAACTTTTGAACAATTCCAGAGACTGGCCATGTACTCCATATGAAAAAAGCTTTTTAATCAAGATGTCTATGATTACCTCAGGTTGTGGGACCCCCACCGAGAATTTGTCTCTCTTTGTGGAAACATACTGTAAAGTGGTTGTTGATTCTATTGAGTGTAGGGTTAAGGATACGGCACATATGCTTCAAATAGTGGATGAGCTTAATGAGACTGGTATATTAGAAAGTGATTTATTAGTAAGTTTTGATATCGTGAATATGTTTCCATCTATTAATAATAAAACCGGAGTGGAACGGGTGCGTAAAAAGCTCACACAATTTTCGGAAAAATTTGATGTGCCTGTGGAATGTATAATTGAGGCCTTGGAGATCTGCCTCTATTAGAATTGTTCCACATATCAGGGACAATATTGGCTACAAACAGATGGTACTGCAATGGGTCCTAAGAATTCTTGCTCATATGCAGATATTGTCGCTGAATGTGTTGATTTAAGAGTTATAGAATCTAAAATAAATTTTCCAGAATTGC